CACTGCACTCCAGTCTAGGTGACAGAGTGAGACTCCAACTCAAAAACAAAAAACAAAAACAAAAAACCAACAGAAAAATCTTTATGACACTGCATTTGGCTAAAATGAGGCTGGGTGTAGTAGCTCATCTATAATCTCAGCACTTTTTTTTTTTTTTTTGAGTTAGAGTCTCACTCTGTCACCCAGGCTGGAGTGCAGTGCCACGCTCACAGTCACTGCAGCCTTGACCTGCTGTGCTCAGGTGATCTTTCCACCTCCGCATTCCAAGTAGCTGTAACTACTGGCACCTGCCACCATGCCTGGCTAATTTTTCAGTTTATTAGTAGAGATGAGGTCTTACCAAGCTGGCCATGCTGGTCTCGAGCCCCTGGGCTCAGGCATTCCTCTTGCCTCTGCCTCCCAAAGCGCTGGTATTACAGGCGTGAGGCACTTTGCCCGGCCAATTCCAGCACTTTGGAAGGCTGAAGCAAAGGATCACCTGAGCCTAGCAGGTCGAGGCTGCAGCAGCTGTGATTGTACCACCCACCGCACTCCAGCATGGATGACAGAGTGAGACAGACTCAAAAAAAAGAAAAAGGTTAAGATGGTAAATTTGGTTACCTATATGCTACCATAAAAAATATAGGTGACAATGTATCCAAAGGCCTTGACCACATTTGGTGAGACTTTTGTTCCTAAGTTGGAAGAGTCCCCTGCCCACCCACACACACACCCACACACACACACACACACACACACACATACACACAAAACCCTACCTCACTCAATGTTCTATCAAATACCTATAACTGGATTTTGCAAAGGATTACACAACAAATGACTTCACTAATGATGCAGTTTATATCCTCCCATACTGACAGATAAAAACACATACATTCTCTAAGCACAAAGCTTATATTCACAAATAACTCTCTGCTTAAAGACAAAATTTCAATTAATAATCACAATGGGAATTTAGTTATTTAATGCAACCACTAATCTAGTATGTCATCAAAATCTAAGCAGTTTTATCACAAAACCAGTTATATTCAGTGGGCATGCATTAATAATCTATACAACTTAACAGAACACCAGAAAAGGAATTGAATATAAAAGTTCCCTCAATTTTTGGTGGTTTTCAAATTCCGTGGCACAGGTTACCAAAAAAACTGTAAAAACGGATTTTAAATATTTTCAATAAAATGGTAAAAAATTGAGCAAGCCTTTAAATTTTCATACTGGGCCCCCAATCTGTCAAAGCCGACAGATATTTACAATAACTAACAGACTTCACTTACAATGATACTGGAGGTCTACTCCCTCCTATCAAAAACCCTTTGGGGTTAATTTCTGAATTCAAATATGTCTTTGTAAATACTGTGATAATATAAACTTGGAAACATACCAAGAGTCAGGACAGGGATGAAGAATAACATATAAATCAATCTTATTTCTGACCTGTTGGCATAAAGCTTTCTGATTCCCAAATACCAAACATTGTTCCTCAATGTAAAAATTAAGAAGAGTAGAATGATTTTATCCTACTGGCTGACATACTCTTGTAGAATAATCTTTTACTACATATCAAGGCAGGGCTCACGCTTCACTAGCCTGCTTCTATCGAGTGTAGTTAGCAGAGCACCAAATTTATAAACTGATACAATAACCTCAAAATGCTAAACACACTTTTCAAATGGAACCAAACTTTTTTTCCTGCTGTTAGTTCCATGTGCCATGTTACTGTTGAAACTTGTGTGGCTACCAATAAGAAAAAAAATTAGGGAAGCTTTGAACATATCTTGTACTTTTCATCAAGGCTAAAGTGCAAAATATCTCCCTATCTCTGATATTTTAATAGGAAAAAAACATCAAACATACATAATAAAGGAACTGAAGTGACAGGAGAACTAATACCTAAAAGGACTCTTAAATATACACTTGGAGACTACATAATACTACCAATTTAATTTTTCTTTCTTTAGCAAAATCTGTCAATGAACCAAGTTCTCATAGAACTTAAGATTTTGTTTGCTTCTCTTTCTAGGACCAGAAATTCCAAAATTAGAGGGAAAACGAACAGGAAAAAAAAAAAAAAACATTGCATGACAATGGACACTAAGTTCATAAAGAACTTCTTTTTAAAATGAGATATTATGGAAGAAAATACCATGAAAAGAATAATCCTATGAGAATTGTTTTTATGCACAGTAAATTTGAGCCTTGGTCTTCATGAAGATACTAAAGTTAATATAGAAAACTATAAATATACAAGATTCCAGGGGGAAAAAAAGTAGAATACGTATTATTCAATATTCTGTAGGCCTACAAAAGTTTGAAGAGGGAAAAGGATGGCCAACTGAATCTTTACTTACAAATACAGAACCATAAAAAATTCCTGGGCCAAAAGGGTGCTAGAAATGGAACCACACTGTGTGAAAACACACAACTTAGATATAATTTTAAAAGGAAAGAAAAAGTACTGAATAATTGTTGTCCCTTCCAAAAAGGAAATCTTAAATTAATGGGGAAAGCTGTGAATAGTGTAAACGAGTCTGGCTCAGAAAGAAAATTGAACATATCCAAGATCTGTCCTTAAAAGTAATGACAGAACGTCTTTAGTATTAAGGAAATAGGCTATAAAAAAGTTCAGTCTCATAACTGGTTTTTAAAAGTTCATTTGTGCTCCTTTGTAGGTGCGTAATAAAGTTCCATGGGTTTGTTCACTTTCCAGTATTTCTCACTGACCAATTCCAAAGAAAAAGAGCCATTTAATACCTAAAACAAAAAAGAAAGAAAATTATGAAAACTGCATGAAGCACCATAATGAGATGAAACAAAAATAGAAGTCCACAGAGTCTTTTTACAAAAAAAAAAAATGTAAGAATAACAACCAGTCACAACACTCATAACAGAGCCAACAGTATCAAAAAATTTACTACTCTGTTGCATTTTCTCTTTATCTCAGGGTCTTAAGGTTCTATACATCGTCTTATTAGATCCCACCCTCCTCCCACACCCCAGTCTCAATGCTCTATCAGATACCTATACTTGGTCAATGTGCTCCCGGTTTTAACTCCATTATGTTAAATACTCACAGTAAACTGGCCACTGGCTGTTGCTATATAAATGGTATACTGCTTCTCACTGGCTGTATCAAGGTTCATCTGGTTTGATTCACCTTTGCTTCGAAGTTCTTCTAAAGCCAACCTCACAGCCAGATACTTGGATAAGTGATCAACAGTGGCGTTACCTGAAGTCTTTATGTATCTGAAAGAATAAATCATTAAAAATTTCATCTCTAGAGTAGTGGGAAAACTGTACTTAAATTATGGAAGTAATACATTTCTTAAAAGCTAAGTAAAATGCAAATGTTTCAATTATTGACAAAATAACACCAGAAATGTAATGCTCTATAATTTTAAATGTTCTTACTGAAAGATACAGAAGAGGAGAAAGTGCACACTTCCTATCTACCAGTCCATAAAAGTTTTACCTACTTTACCTTCTGTAAAATATAGTGGCAAAAATCACACAGAAATACATAAAGTACTAGGTCAGACGTGGTGGCTCACACCTGTAATCCAAGCACTTTGAGAGGCCCAGGTGGGAGGATTGCTTGAACCCAGGAGTTCTACTTGAGCCTAGGAATTCAAGACCAACCTGAGCAACATAGCAAGATCCTATCTCTACAAAAAAATTAAAAAATCAGCCGGACATGGTGGTGCATGCCTGTAGTCCCAGTTTCTTAGGAGGCTGTAGTGGACAGATCACCTAAGCCCAGGAAGTTGAGGCTGTGGTGAGACATGATCATGCTACTGCACTCCAGCCTGGGCAACAGAGCAAGACCCCAACTCAAAAAGAAAAAAAGAAAAGAAATACACAAAGTACTAAGGTAGGAAAAAGAACAACGTATACCTCAAACCCCAATTAACAGAATCTGCTGGCTGTAGCGGCAAAAGGAACATTAAGAATATGAGTAAATTTCTTATTGCCTAAGAAAATATCTGCTTGTAAATCTAAGCACAAAAATGTTAATCTTGGGATTTTTAAAGTATAATATACCATTCATTCAATCACTCATTCAACAAGTATTTGACGCTTATCTGCACTCAGTGCCAGGCGGTGTGCTGGAGATACAGTGGGAAAAAGCAGCAGACAGTGTAAGTTGTAGAGTCTACTGGCACCCTAGTATCCCTGTTAAGAAATTTGAATGTTTCCCTTTCCTCCTCCTCTACCTAGGAGGGTCATCCCTTTGGATGTGCAACTCTGAGTAGAAAGCACGTAAGGGAGGAAGGAAAAAAACAACAATCTAGGCAGCCAGTATATCCAAATCAATGGGATGACAAATAACTGCTACTTCTTAAGCAAAATTGCCAAATTAAGCATTCTGAATTCAGATAATCTGAAATTAACCTACACACTTACCTTGTCTGTGCACTGTCATCTTTTTCCATAAGTGTGGGATGAGGCCTGAATACTAATTCAATTTCACTAGCACCATCCATTACTGGGTCAATTGCCACTGTCGCATTGTTATTATCAAGCTCAAGTCCAGAATCATCAGATGTTTTGGTCCGTTTGTTACTAGGGCCTGCTTCCTGATTGCTATGTGTGGATGCATTACTACAGTGTGAACTGTCACCATTATCTTCTGCGCCACTACCATTTTCAATTTGTTGTTTCTTGCCTCGCTGTAATCTAGTCAAGGGGAAAAAAGGATGCATAAAATGTACTTTTAGGTCAGTAAAGCATCAAATTGGTAACTAAATTTGCTATGAGTTGGGTAATAGCATTGTTTCCCACATGTTCCTGAAAGGTCTAAAAAAAATCTCATACACACACAGGCAATGATTTCTATTCACGTAATAATTTTCTTAGCTGGGCATGGTGGCTCACGTCTGTAATCCCAGCACTTTGGGAGGCAGAGGTGAGATGATTTCCTGAGCCCAAGGGTTCGAGACCAGCCTGGGCAACATGGCAAGATGTCGTCTCTACAATAAATCAAAAAATTAGCTGTGCATAGTGGCATGTGCCTGTAATCCCAGCTACTTGGAAGGCTAAGGCAGAAGGGTCACCTAAGCCCAGCAGGTCAAGGTTGCGGTGGTCGTGCGGATGGCTCTGCACTCCAGCCTGGGTGACAGAGTAAGATAACAACTCAAAAAAAAGCAAAACAACAAAAACTATAATTTTCTTTATTAAACAAAAGACAGGAATTTTTGACAAATCTTCATTTATATTTTGATCATTTTGTCTCATGAGATTATAAATCAAAAGAATAGTATGATTCAAATATAAGCATTCCTTCTCCCTGCTGACTTCCCTCAAAGTCTGCTAATCCAATGCAGGATTCTAATGAGGAAAATGGAATGGTATCTAAATAACTAGCATGGATACAGAAGCAACTCTTGAACAAGCTCAGATACTAAAACCAATTACCTGACACTTTGTGTATATATAATCTCATTTATTCTTCAAAACAACCTGCCAAAGCAGTTAGCATTACCATCATTTTATAGTTGAGAAAAGCAAAGAAACCGAGGTACAAGATTAAATAATTTGCCTAAGGTTATATAGCTATAAGTGCCAGAGCGAGCCAAGGCTAGGATGTGATACCAGACCACAATCTTTCTACCACATCTCTCTTCTGTATATACAAGAAAGGAATATATGATGGAAAATGTGATAGAAAGACATATACTTCTAAGAACAGTGTCATTATCATGTTTGTTGCCAGAACAAGGAACTAATAACCCAATGGTTAGAAAAGACGCTCAAAAATTCTTGCTTTAGAAAAAAATTGAATCCTGCTTATAAAATCTGCAGATCATTGCAAAACTAATAACGTCCAGATAAAGGTTAATAGGGTATTATATTCTACATTTATCAAATCACATCTATAAAACTGCATATTGTCCTGATGGTAGCATTTTAAGAATGACACCAACAATCTTGAATGTTATAAAAGGAACAACAACAACAATAACAACAACAAAAATAGAAATGTGATTATTTAGCCTTTAGAGGAACATGTAAAAGCACATCTATATGAAAGTATATGAAAAACTAGTAGAAGTAGAATCTGATATACATGTAGAATAAGTATTTTGAAAGACCCAGATTGTTACATACATGAGACTAATCTTATTTCAATATAAAGGAAGAATTTAGCCAGGCATGGTGGCTTATGCCTGTGATCCCAGCACTTTGGGAGGCTGAGGTGAGAGGACTGCCTGAGTCCAGGGTTCAAGACCAGCCTGGGCAACTTGGTGAGACCTCATCTCTACAATAAGTCAAAAAAGAATTAGCTGGGTTTGGTGGTGTGCACCTGTAGTTCCAGCTACTTGGAAGGCTGAGGCGGAAGGATCACCTGAGCCCAGTAGGTCGAGGCTGCAGTGGCCATGAGTGTGCCCTGCACTCCAGTTGGGCAACAGAGTGAGACTCCAACTCAAAAAACAAACAAATAAAGGAAGAACTTAAAAAAAAACTCAAATATATTTACTGACTAAGCATGTTTCTAAGTATTGGCCTTATAAAAGTCAGTAATACTGACTGACACAGTCTCCTCCCTTTTAGGATTCACATTCTAGTGCAGCAGGTAACACATGTGAGAGAGTGTCAGGTGCTGTGGAGAAAAAAATGAGGCAGAGAGGAAAAGGAAATATGGAGTCCTGAGGTGGAAGATGGGAACTAACAGACACCTGCTAAAAAATGAAGGAGTGGGCCATGTAGATTATCTGGAAGAAAAAGATTCCTGAAGAGAGAACAGTGAGTACAAAGGCTTGAGACAGAAGCTTGGTGAGTTTGAAGAACAGTAAAGAAGCTGTAATAAAGTTACCAGTAAATGAAAGGAGCTCCAGTCACACACCCACCACTACAGATGTTCAAGCAAAACCAAAGGACTATTTGTAAGGATTTTGCAAAGGAGATTATTGTTCCTGGTAGAAGACTAAATTGAACAATCATTAAAGTCCTTCCAACTCTTACAAATATACAATTCTTTAAAAAATAAATACATTCAAGACTTAATACTTTAATTTATTAAATACAGTGGTTGGTCAGTTAATTATAGTTAAAACAGAGTACATCTTTTAACCTTTAAGCCAGTGGTTTTTGACACTGGTTGCACTTCAGAATCACCTAAGGAACCTTAAAAACAGTAGTACCTGGGTCCTGATTACTTGATCTGGGATGATACCCAAGGCCCTGAGATTTAAAAGTTTTCCAAGTGATTCTGATGTTCAGCCAAGATGAAAACCACTAGAATGAGATGAGGCTTCACTGGCATCTCCTACTTTGGAAAATGATGGTTATCGCTGAGGCCTGAGTAAATCAGAAGATAATGTCAGAGAAGAAAAGAGGATGGGTAAGAAACATGCTCAGATTAAACAGGATCTTGGAAGTCATCATTAAGATATTTTGGTTTTTAGCCTGAATGTGAACAGAAGTTATTAGGAGACAGAAGTTATTAAAGGGCTCTGAGCAAAGGAGAACCATGATGTCATTTTCAATTTGACAGAATCTCTGGTTGCTGTACTAAGAACAGACTATGTAGGGGAAGCATGAGAAGCAGAAAGACCAGTTAGGAGGCTATTTCATTTTGTCAAATGAAACACTGTCGTGGTCTAGACTAATCTGGATACACTATGGAGAAAGCAAAAATTATTTATTAATTTACAGGTTCAGATACAGGTGTGAGAAAGAGGTTTAATGGTAGTTTTTGGCTTTAGCAAATGAAATGATGGACTTGCTACCAACTGAAATGAAGATGCATGAAGTAGGGGGTAAAAGACTAGTGTTCATCATGTTAAGTTTGAGATGCTTATTAGATATACAAGAGGAGACAAGTCTAAAATTTAGAGAATAGACTATGAAGGGGACTATGCTGAATACATGAATTTAGAAGTCAGTAGCATATAGTCATCAAAACCATAAAACTGACTGAGATAAACTGGAGACAGTTTTTTGCATGGAAAAGAGAAAAGAGCTGGGTGTGGTCGCTCATGCCTGTAATCCTAGCACTTTGGGACACCAAGGTGGGCGGATCGCTTAAGGCCAGGAGTTCGATACCTGCTTCAGCAACATAGTGAAACCCTGTCTGTAAGAAAGTTAAAAAAAAAAGAGAGAGAGAAACAAGATTGATCCTTGGGACACTCCATCTTTGTGAGTTAGGGGAACTGAAATAAAAATCTACAAAAGCAGCAAGAAAAAAGAGAAATAGCTAATGACATACAAAGAGAACCAGGAGAATATGGTCTCCTGAAAGCTCGGTGAAGAAATCTATTCAAAGACAAAGGAGAAATTAATTGTGGCAAATGCTGCCAAAGTAAGATGAGGTCTGGTTCGAACCAGCTACTGGATTACACAATGTGGAGGTCACTAATAATTTGAAAGGGGCAATAAGATGGTGTGGTGAGGATGAAAATCTAATTAGAGGGGGTTTCAAAAAAGAACGAGAAAGGAAGTGGAGACAGACAACTCTTTCAAGTATTGCTAAAAAGAGAAGAGAAGAAATAGACTGATAAGAGGTAGGTAAAAGAGAGATCTTGGCATTTTAAATGAAATCCCCTATTATGCCAGGAGGCATATATAATACCTGCACAAAAAGGTAATCACGGAAAACTACTCTCTGTTACCACATTTTACCTTTTTCAAAAAGTAAGTTGAATATTTAATAAGACTTATATTAGGAAAACCAGCTACCCTCTCTGGCCCTCTTTCCCCCCTACCTGTTCATGGCCTGTATCTTCAGTCCTTCCTCAATGCTGTGACTGAGAGCTTGCTGATTATTGTGCTTGTTGATCCTGGCTAATACTCTCTCTTGATGAGCTTCATACTCATCGCGACTTGGATAAATTTTGCTGATGAGGGCATCAAAGTTTGGGTCTGGCCTCAGTGACCTTTTGGAAACTAGCTTTTTCCGACAGGTAGGACATTCTTTGTTGCTAGATAAAGAAGGGGAAAGTAAATGTAAACAATGCCAGTACCTCTGGGCTAAAGACAAAAACATCCAGCTTCTGGAAAGCTATCTCCTTTATTCTAATACCTTTACTAAGTCACAGAAATGTAAACTAATTAACCTGAATTTCCTTGAAACTCTGACTAGTGGGTAAATAAGATTCTGGAAACCTCAAACACTCTATATACCACTTGACAAAAGAGAAAAATTTGAGTATTTCCCAATGATAATTTATATACAACCATTTTAGAAATAAAAACCTATTATTTCTTAATTTAAGTTTCCCCTTTCTGATAACCATACCATAAAAGAAAAAAACAGCCACAAATATATATCAATTTCTATACTATAAATTCTTTTATTGAAATAATACTTTCATAAAGGTATTATTTAAGAAGTAGAAAAAACATGGTTTCATGTTTTATAATTTCCTCAAAACAAATAATCTACAAAGTTTCTAAAATTGTATAAAAACTGTTTAAAAACAAAAAGTCTCCAATAATTAAAATTTACACTTTAAAACACGTTAGTTCCCACAATCCCCTTATTGAGAATATACCTGGAGGAACTCAAATCACTCTACGAAAAAGAAACCTGCACACGCATGTTTACTGCAGCATTGTTCACAATAGTAAAAACATGGAACCAACCATGCTGCCCATCAAAAGAGGACTGAATAAAAAAAAAAATGTGGTACATATACACAATGGGATATTATGCAGCCATAAAGAAGGACAAAATCTTGAACTTCACAGCAACTTGGATGGCCTCAGAGTCTATAATACGGAGTGATCTACCACAGAAACAAAGAACTGAGTATACCACGTGTTCTCACTCATAAGTGAACCTTGAACAATTATCATAATACTGATAAGAAAAGAACTGTCAGTAGTGGGAAACCGCCAGGGCAGGGGGTAAGGATTAGCAGTAGTGGGATACTACCAGGGGACACACCTCATAAACAAGGGTACCTGCAAAATGAACATTTGTATACTTAACCCCAAATTGTACCCCACATCTTTAAAATTAAAAATTAAAAAAAAAAAATTTACTTCTCAATCAAATGCTTATAGAGACTGTATTTCTCAAACCCAGGAATACACTGTCATGGTATAATTTAAGTACCTAGTATAACTTTTTTTAATCAACATACCCACTTCTAAGGGCTGTGATGATGCAGTCTGCACAAAAACGATGCAAACACTCCTTTGTAGTCATGGTGTTCTTCAACATATCCAAACAAATTGGGCACATTAATTCACTATGTAGACTTCGAGGTGAAACCACAATTTCCAAGCCATCTGTTATTGCCTCCTGTAAAAGAATCACTTTAAAATTAAATGCTACTCATAAAAAAACATTTGTATACCTAACCCTAAATTGTACCCATCTTTAAATAAAATAAAATAGAATAAGAAAAAATTAAATGCTACTTAATTTTTGTTAATTATGGACAAGTTCAAACATATAAATATAGGAAATTATAAAAATGAACACACATGTATTCACCATCCAGCCACTGCCATTGTCAACTCACAGCCAATCTTATTTTGGCTATAATCTTCTACAACTCCGCTCAAAAGCATTATTTTAATGCTAAAGATAACATATTCACATATTTCAGAGATAACTAATGGGAAATTAGCCTGATATAATAAAAAAGTTTTAAAAGTGAACTTGGAATCATGCCTTAGTTTCTAGTCCTAGTCATTTTAAGTAGCTGTGTGAATCTAAATAATTATCTAACACTGCTTTCTTATCTGCAAAATGAAGAAGTTAGGGTTAAATGAACTCTTAGAATTCTTCTACCTTCAAAAGTTATACAATTCTGATAATAAATCATGTGTCATGCTGCCCATTAAAATATTTTAAGATTCCAATAAAGTATTCCCTAATTTAGAAATAGTTTAATAGGATTTCATTTTAAACTATTTTTGACCCTCAAAAAGTCTTGGTCCACAGAGTAATTTTATATAGAGTGGTCAGGTCAGGTTTTCATGCTAACCCATAAGCTGATTTAAGCCAGAATGCATATGAAGCATAACACGTATATGTATATGTATAACATGTATATCTAATGGTCCTGTCTGAAAATGTTTCCCTGGAAAAATGCATTTAGAGTTCCAATGTAAAATTTCAGGCTGTATCGCCCTGCTGCACAGTGATTAGTGAATCCTACCTGCTTTACCACCCTCCTCATGCGCTGGCAACTGAAACACAGAATCTCCTAGCTCTAAAGTCACTAATACTGACTCCTATGGATTGAGAGAGTTCTACTGCAGTGAATATTGTAAAGAAGATGCAGGCAGAAATAAGTAGTTTCTGATAGGCTCCTGATACTGCCTATTTCGACTAGCTGTCCATCAAACTTATGCTTTCTTTATATGGTTAAAGATTGATTACTCCACAAGGAAAAACATAGAAACTCTAGATATTGTATAAATATGGTCTGAGTAAAATGTATTTGTGTTTACAATAACTACAATTATTAAGTGCTTTTTAGGTTTCAAGCTTGCTATAAAGCACTTTTCCTATTTTTTTTCTTACTTGAACACTTACACAAACTTTGGACTGAGGAGTTATAACCTACATTTTATAGATAATGAAACTATCACTCAGAGAGTATGATTACGACCCAGGTAGTAATCACATCTGTTTTTGTCTTCTTTAGAATATGCCCAACCCTGAATAAACTCAACCATCAATGTTCTTCAAGGCTATTCCAGTGCAGATATGTAGCCCTGTGGAAGAAAAGGGAGAAGGAAGACCAGGCTGCTATAACCAACAACTTCACCAGCCTCAAATGGGTGTTCAATACTGCTCAACAACTGGTTAATCTCATGAACTCGCTTTTCCCTTCTCTATACTATTTTATATCTTTTCTTCAACCTGACCTTTTTTCATCTGAACTTTCAGCAAATCACCTTACCTCGTACTTCATTAAAAGAGCTCCCTCATTTCCTCTCGACCAAATCTACAAATTATCGTCTTCTCTGTTACAAGAAGCTATGCCTCTTCCTATCAAAGGTACATTCCTTGGTACCACCTCAAGGACATCTTCTTTTGATTATGCTATTTGCTCTTAAACTTCAGCAATCTCTCCCTCTCCCCTGAATCAGCCTAGGAGACTCGTACATCGATTTGGCCTGAGACACAGTAAAACATGAGGGATCTCCATCTGATAGACATAATAAAATTTAAAGCTTATTGTCACACTGCTTTCCAGTTTTTGTTCCCTTTCTCTCCTCCTCTGCAAAGCCAAAGTTCTCTGAAGAATTGCCTACTCGTCTTTTTTCACTCCCTACCACCCCCGTATTGAACCACATATACACACAATTATCTTTTCTTGGTTCATGATGTGAACCAATGATGAGAACGCATCATGATTCCATTCAACCTTCAACCTAGTACAGTCGACTCAAGTGAACTTGCTCTTGTCAAAGTCACCAAATACAGTTGTCCCTCCATATTCATGGGTGGAGGGGAATGGCTCCAGGAATTTCCATGAATATCAGAATACTTTGATGCTCAAATCTCTTACATAGAATGTAATATGTGCATATAATCTTTGCACATCGTCCTGTGTGACATGTGAATTTTATATTTTATCTCATATGTGAATTTAAATGATCTCTAAATTACTTCTAATACCTAATACACATCATTTCACTTGCATGCTTTCAACGAAGTACTCGGCATACAGCAAATTAAGTTTTGTTTTTTGGAACCTTATGGAATATTTTAGCTCTGAATATTTTCAATCCATGGTTGGTTGAATCTACAGACACAAAATCCATGGATACGGAGGGCCAACTGTATTGCCAAGTCTAACAAACATTTTTCTAATCTTCATCTTATTTAACCTGGCAGCAGTGTTGAACATCCTCCTTAAAACGCTTCCTTTAGATTTAAAATCCCACACCCAATCTCTTAATCTCTTATTTTTTTCCTCTCAATCTCTTATTTTTTTCCTTTCTCTTCTCTGAGTGTTCCTTCTCAGTCTCCTTGTCCATCACCTAATTTCTAAATGTTGAAGCACCTGTGGATGAAGTTACAGGCCCTCTCTGCTCATCCTTCTGGGTAATTTTATCCATTCCCCTTGCTTTATATGTGCTGGCAATCCCTAAAATATTATGTTTAGTTTCGACTAATAGAAAAATCATCACTAGTTAGCATCTCTGCCCGCCTGTTGCATAGATATTTCCAACTTAAAATGAACCCATCTGTAAGCATGTTTATTGCCTTCAAATCCATTCCTCTCCCAGTCTTTGCCATTTTCATCTCCTCAAAATGGTCTTCCCTAGTGCCCTGTTATTACTCGTTATAGCACAAAGAACTTGCCCAACTTTATACAACTTCTCACATGTGAATTTTACAGATATTTACTTGTTTAACACCTATAAACCATATGGGCTGCTGCCTTATCTGTTTTGTTCCCCAATATTCACTTAGTGCCGAACACAGAAGCTTGAACAGAGTATTCAAATTATTTGCTGAATCATTGAATGAAGTGTAAGCCAGACATACTGAAGTCAGGACAGTTTGTATATTAATTTATTATTACTGTATGTTCTATTTAGGCTTTCACGGTCTAAAAATGTGTCCCAGTTTACATGTCTCAATGTCCCTGTATTACCTGAGGTGTTCGTTGCAATTCATATAAACTGAGTTCCCATGTTTTGCTTAATGGCTGAGTTCCATTTGTCTGCACAGCCTGAGACATTGCTAGAAGTAAAAGAGAGACAAAAACAATTTTAGTATTTGGAAGGGAAGTGCTGTGGTCTGAATGTATGTGTCCCACCAAAATTCTTATGTTGACATCTGATCTCCTATGCAATGGTATTAAGAGGTGGGATCTACAGGAGGAAATCAGGCATGAGAGTAGAGTCCTCATGAGGGGATTAGTCTCCTTATGAAAGAGGACTGAGAAAGACTTTTTGCCCTTCTGCCATGTGAAGACAAACCTGTTGCTTATAAATTACCCAGTCTAAAGTATTTTGTTATAGCAGGCCAAATGAACTAAGATAGGAAGTAAATCTCAAAACTTTTAGAAATTGTTAATTTTGAGAATAATAAAAATAAATAATACATTGGTTCTCAACAATTAAAAAGAAAAGTTCAAGAATCTTTCCATTTATAAATATGAACAACTTGACAGTAAGAGACTACTGATCTCTGAATGTCCAACAGCAGGCATACAGGAAGTACTTAACATCAAAAGTACTTAATTACTACTGAATGTACAGAAGATTGTCTTAACCTAAAACATTTTATTTTATTTTATTTTTTTTTTTTTTTGAGTTGGAGTCTCACTCTGTTGCTCAGACTGGAGTGCAGTGGCCACTCCCGGCCACCGCAGCCTCAACCTGCTGGGCACCAGCGATCCTGCCGCCTCAGCCTTCCAAGTAGCTGGAACTACAGACATGCGCTACCAGACCCGGCTAATTTTTGATTTATTGTAGAGATGAGGTCTCGCCAAGTTGCCCAGGCGGGCCTTGAACCCACAGGCTCAGGCAATCCACTCACCTCAGCCTCCCAAGGCGCAGGATTATAGGCTGAGCCACCGAGCCCGGCTCCTAAAACATTTTAGTGAGTATTTTTTTGAAAGTCATAGTCATGGAACTTCAAACTGAAACAGGAAAATTTCAGATGCTTCAGCAAAGCCATCTAGTCCAACTTTATCCAAGATACAAAATCTACTTTCTATCACTTTACACCACCAGTCAATCTGCCTCTACTTTCACAGCTTCACTCATGAAAAAGTTCCCTATAGAGTAAGTCAACTCTAATGTTCAGAAAGCTTTCCCTACTGTTGAGCCTAAATGGCTACCTATTTATCCTACAGCTGCCCTCTGGAGACAAACTGATTAAGTCCAATAATTCTTCTATGTGACAGCCTTTCAAATACTTGGGGACGTGTATCATATCCCATCTAATTTTTCTTTCCTTTTGGTTTTAGTTAAATATCCTAGTTCCTTCGATTGTCCCCTATTTGTCACGATTTCAGAATCTCCTCACCACCCTGACTCACTAATCCTGCCTCCCTTCCTGGTATAAACTGAACAATGTAAGGCCGAACTTCTCTGCTTGTCTGAGTAAGGGAATGGGATCTAATATAAACGTGGGGAAGATGACTGAAGATACAAAACTAACTCCTCTGGGGCACAGAAAGATGAAGAGACTCCAGTCATCCATATATTTATTATCTGTTATTAGCCAAGCAGAACTGCCCTAGGGTCCTTGCCTAGAAAGAACTCATGTAAGCAGATACAACTACAGTCTGCCAAGATAAAGTCTAAGGAGGAGCACAGAAAAAACTATGGAATTTTAAAGGGGAAACAGGGAATCTAAAGAGCTAGGGAAGGCTTTAGCAGAGATGAAATAAGCCTTAAAAAGTAAGCTTACTACAGTGGAATAGGGTTACAACAGAAAGAAGGTTCTAGACAAAAGAGCAACATGTGTAAAGTCAAGAGTAAAGCTGGCATACTTGTGACTGGAAGATACCAAAAGTTTTAACGAGGAGAGTACAGAGGAGCGTACAGAAGTTCATGCAGTGTAGAAGGTAGAAGACTAGAAAGCAACTAGCAGAAAGATCAGTTAGAAAGTTATTAAAAACCAGTATGATAATAACTGTCTGAACTAAAGCAGTTAAGAATGGAAAATTAGATAGGTAGACCACTAAGTGATACACAAGACACTGGTATAACAAAGAAGGGCAAAATATGAACCTGGGAAAGGATGATTTTTTTTTTTTTGAGTTGGGGTCTCACTGTCACCCAGGCTGGAGTGCAGTGGCACACTCACGGCCACCCCAGCATTGACCTGCTGGGATCTGGCGATCCTTTCGCCTCAGCCTTCCAAGTAGCCGGAACTGCAGGTGCATGCTACTGCGCCCAGCTAATTTTTTGATTTATTGTAGAGACAAGGTCTTACCATGTTGCCCAGGCTGGTCTCGAACCCGCAGGCTCAGGCAATCATCTCATCTCAGCCCCCTCGAAGTGCTAGGATTACAGGTTTGAGCCACCACACCTGGCCAAAAGCACGACTTTGCTACACATACTGAGTTCCGGCTAACTATGGACCATTAAGGCAGAGTGGTTCAGTAGATAATTTTTAAAATCCCACACCTTCCTGAAGACACAACTTGTCTTTCAGTTCTGAACTCTGGGGCTAAAGGTTAAAGGACTAGTAATCATACAATTGAATGATTTAGTCATGGGCTCTAGCCACCGTTTTATAAACATCATTAGACACCTGCCATAGTGACTGCAGTCTGGTTTGGTCTGGCCTGCCAGGGCCTAGTGCAGGAGGCTAGTACAAAACAATGGTCTTCCAGAAACTTTGTTTCACAGGCCTAATCTCTGGTTACAGATCATTAATTATACTTCTCAATAAAAGGGCTATCTGACACAACAGAAATGTTTCCATACAAAGTAGGTACTCAAATCTGTGGAATGTATAAATGAAAAGTAAGCATTAGTCTGAATGAGATAACTTTCACTGCACAGGCAGACACAGAAAATAAATCTGAAAAAAGATCTAGTCCAGTAGATTTTGAAAGCTGGCAGCTTCAGTAACCAAAGGGGGAAATATCAATAGGATATTCAGAATGCTCTTTTTTGGGATTGCAAATATGTGGCAATCACACTGATATTCCATACTTTCATATCCACATGGAACATTACTAAATACATCACTCAGACCTTTTATGAAGGCTCAATGTGGTCTCAAAAGCTATTTCAACACAGCACCCTTCTGAAGTGAATACTCGAAGACAGCAGAAGAGCCAAAGGAGATGAAAACTTCCTATGCATTCTATACAGAAATGTAAGTTTTTAAAAACAAGAAAAAGAAAAAAGATGCAAAGTACAAAATGTGTCCTGTGTACTGATTAGCGTAACTTAGCTGATTTAAGTAACTCTATGTATCCCACTTTCTCCAACACCTAGAAATGAGTTGGCTTGGTAATGAGCCTGCTTTTCAAAATAACTTAAATAAACGAGCAAGAGAAGGCATTTAGAAAGAAGAAGAAAAAAAAAGAATCTCAAATATTATAAAAGGGAAAGAATTACTGCTTATTAATGCTGATATTTTATGGTTTAAACTAAGAATCTTCAAACCGGGGTATGTATGTGCATCCCTGAATAACACAAACACTTTCTAGTGGGCTATATGGTTCTTGGGAAGTTTTAAGAGAATTAATTTTCAGATTCTCAATGTTCCTTAAGTACTTTTACCAAAAGTGATCTGCCTAAGAACAAACCTCTCTATCTGGGCTGGTCTCTATTGTTTTTCATAAGGTTATCTATCATTCATTCACACATTCAAACACTGACTACCCAACTGCATTCCATGCACTATACTACACAAGGTGCTAGGGACAACAGCAGTAAACAAAACAAACAAGTATGCATATAATACATTAAAAGTTCTTAAATGATATAAAGGAAATAAACAGGGTATTGGGTTAGGTAAGAAGTCAGGGCAGAAATGTAAGATAGGGGAATCAAGGAAGAGCATTCACAGAAACAGACAAACTACAAGGAAAAAAAGGTCAATGTCACTGGTAAATAACGGAGAAAATATACAAAAAAAGGTTGCAGAACTAAAAAGAAGTCACATGGTGATCTTTTTTGTATCTTGTGGAATTTAGGGGCAAAAGAATGGGTTAAAGAGAAAATCAGAGCCGGGATCGGTGGCTCAGCCTGTAATCCCATGCCTTTGGGAGGCTGAGGTGAGTGGATTGCCTGAGCTCGCGGGTTCGAGATCCGCCTGGGCAGGCGAGACCTCATCTCTACAATAAATCAAAAAATCAGCAGGGCGTGGTAGTGCATACCTATAATTCTGGCTACTTGGAAGGCTGAGGCGGAAGGATCCCCGGAGCCTAGCAGGTCGAGGCTGCGGAGGCCGGGAGCGGCCACTGCACTCCAACAGAGTAAGACTTCAACTCAAAAAAAAAAAAAAGAGAAAATCAAAACCGAAACTACATTTTCTTTATAAATGAAAAGACTACTTTATCAAAATATGTGAGCTATGTAATAAGAAAACCATCCCTTAGAAATATTTATAACTAAAATTTTAAAATACTAAAATCATAAAGACTGAAAAATATGAACCAAGCATTAGAAATTAGAAAATGAACCTAAAGAAAGTATAGGTCCGGGCATACTCATGCCTGTAATCCCAGCACTTTGAGAGGCAGAGTTGGTAGGATCGCCTAAGCCCAGGGCTTCAAGACCAGCCTGGGCAATTTAGCAAGACCTCGTCTCTACAATAAATCAATAAATTTTAAAAAATTAGCCAGGTGTGGTGGCATGCACCTGTGGTTTCAGCTACTTGGAAGGTTGAGGCAGAAAGATCACCTGAGCCCAGCAGGTCAAGGCTGCGATGGCCATGAGCATGCCACTCCAGCCTGGGGACAACATGAGATTATGATTCAAAAAAAAAAAAAAAAATTCCAGCACTTTGCCAGGTCAAAGTGGAAGGTTTGCTTGAGCCCAGGAATTTGAGACGAGCCTAGGCAACTTGGCAAGACCTCGTCTTCACACACACATACACACACACACAAAAAAAAAATTAGCCCGGTATGGTGGTAGACGATGCTAGAGAAGCCGAGGCAGAAGGATAACCTGAGCCCAGGAGGCCAAGGCTGCTGTGAACCATGAGCCACTGCACTCTAGCCTGGGCAACAGAATGAGACCCCAACTAAAAATATATATACAAGCCGGGCTAGGTGGCTCAGCCTGTAATCCCGCGCCTTTGGGAGGCTGAGGTAAGTGGATTGCCTGAGCCCGCGGGTTCGAGACCCGCCTGGGCAGCGAGACCTCATCTCTACAATAAATCAAAACATCAGCTGGGTATGGTAGCGCATGCCTGTAATTCTGGCTACTTGGAAGGTTGATGC